AAGCCACTGATGTTACCTTAACAGTTGTCTGGGTTGTGTAAAGAAGCTGGCAGATGTAAATAGCACTAAGCATCTCCTAAAGGAGATAAACTGGTTCTGAGAAACCATATTATTAAGATGACTTTCCTTGGCTGTTAAAAAGGGTCCAGTCTTGCTCCATCTGAGCTATGCTTTGACATTGCTTTCAGTAAAATGGGAGTGCAGTTGCCGTTGTTAGATCTTGTGGCTGCCTGGCAGTTTGTGAGTATGGCAAGACTGTAACTGGGCTTTAGGGTACAAGTCAATGTTCACTGGATACAATGTAATTTTTTCCTATTATTTATTTAGACAGAGTCTAGCTCCTGTATCCTGCGTCTAGGAGTGATCTATGGTGGGTGCCAAGGGAAGAGTACAGAACAGCAGAGAAAATATATTGTGATATTTTCCTGTGGAATTCTGCTTGTAACCGTAAGCTGATGATGTATCCGCTTAGCCTGATTTCCTATGTTCAGATGGGTTCCGTGGGTGAGGATCTTCTGTTTCATCTGGTGGTACCATAGCTTCTTTGCAAGTCTTTTAAGAGACACCGTGCAAAATTAGTTGTGGAACTCCAAGTGGATTCATCACCTGGATCTTCTTGTCGACTTCCTTTAGAGAACTTCGAAGAACTCTACATAGATTTGCAAGGCATGACTTTTCTTACAAAAGCTGTATTACACCTTAGCCAACATATCTTCTTTATGACTGCTAATTCTGTTCTTTGCTACAGTTTTTCATCCAATTGTCTGGGTTGCTGCAGTTGCTTGTCCGTAGTTTCCTGTCTTTTCTGTCTTCCTGACAACTCCCAGTCAAAGTACTCCACAGTGAACAAGGACACTGTATGTTGATCATCTGCTGAGTAGCTTCTCTGGCTTGGTTTGGTGCTCAACACAGACAATACAAAGAATTGTCTCCTTTTTCTGCTGGCAGTGCAAGAGTGTGTCCTGTGACAGCTGTGTGCTGTCTTGCTGGCACCCCTGGGAGGGAGACGCTGGTTCAGGACCCATTTCCACATGTCTGCATTTGCCATGGAGTCTGTTCTACAGTCGGACGTGATAAAAGTCACCACCTTTGATTCCACTGTGATACTAAAACTCCATCCACACAGTGGTCAAAGGGTATTGTTTGACATTTTGCGTTTTGTTGTAATTGTCAGTGTAGAAAACATTTAACAATCTAGTGGTTTTAACAGTATTTAGCATAAGCAAAGCCATTTTACAGTCATTTTACAAAACATCATTTGAGTTTTATACTTTTCTGCTTCAGTGTGGAGAAATTTCTCACCTCCTTAGACTCTTGCCCTTTCATATTTCCTAGGTTTCTTTAAAGGACATTGTCCTTAAAATTATTTTCTTCTTCTCCTCCTTTTTCCTTGTAAAATCTTACACTTGTGATATGCAAAGTGTGCTTCTGCAGTAGGCAGCTGGAAATTCAAAGTGATGAGTATTAACTGATGCACCAGGAAAGGTGAAGTATTGACACCTGTAAGGGTTCTGTACTTTCTTTGCTTTTGCACTGCATTTTGCTGTCTTGCAAGTACTCTTTTGCTGTTTACCTGCTTCTTTCTTTATGGTTTTTTAATCCCTAAGCTAAGTTTTTAATTGAACTAGAAATTGCATCTCCTTGCATCAAATAAAATTAACTTTCCTTAGTCAGAGGTGATTATCAGAATTTTTCGAAGAGTTTTTGTGGTACATGTGATTGATTTGTAGAATACTGAAAAGAAACTTCTGCAGGACAGCCATTGCTATTGAGCCCCAACTTTCCGCTGTGTCAGCTCCAGCCTAGCCTGACTTTGATCTGAAGATCATTCATATTCCAGGGGAATGTAGCTAGGTAGCACAAATCATGTTTTATTCCTTACTCTTTGGATTCCCCTCACCCCATCTCCCCATGTTTTTCCAGCTATTTTTAGATTATTCAGTCTTTGCCTCCTTAGAGCTATTTTGGGTAAAAATCACTTAGTTTCCTATGAAGTCTGCCTGAGACATACTGCAGGACAAGACCCAGGTAAGCACCTACTGCAGAATTTTATCAATTTACATTCCCGTTCACGAGTGTATATATATAGAATATGAAATTGCCATTGTGTGTTCTACTCGCTAGAATGAAGGGGTAGCTGTCAGCAGACTTGAATCTCTCTCAAATCTAGTTCTAAGGCTGTAACTTGGTCTTAGTAAGTTTCTAAACCTCCCCTTTCCTCAGTTGTCTTATCCAGGAATAAATAGTATTAATTTGTCTTTCTGAGGTGCTTTAACACTTTGGATGTAAGGTTTTCTCAAAGTGCATCGTGTTTTTGCGTTGTATTGTGATTCTGTTAGCTGGGTATCTTGCAACCATTGTGCCAAAATAACAGAAAGCAATGGTTGTATTTTTCTGTTCTTAGTTGCAGAGATATTTTCTTTATCATTCTCAATTCCAGTTGCAGACATTGCGGCATAAGAGCTATGGTTCGGTTCTTGGAGATGAAAAATAGCTACTCTGATGAAGCCAAGCATAAAAGCATAAAGTATGCAAGGAGTTAGGAACTAAAGTAACATAGATCTTAAAATCGCTGATGTCTGTAAACACTGTTTTGTAACAGTTTTTAATATGTGAAATGATGCGTGCTGAAGATCATGAATCAATCAAACTATCGTGAAGAGTGTAAGATGACGGCATAAACCAGGGAATGGCAGCAGTGCCTAGTTTGTACTACTTATCTCTGGTCTGACAGCATTTTCTGTCATAAATCTGTTTGTTTTATAACTAGGCCGTAAAACCTTACTTCAGGCTGAAATGTAGCAGGAGATGCTGTAGTTCAAAAATTGCGCTTTTACGGAAGAATACATCAGTAATTTGTAAATTAAAATTGCAGCACTTTAAAAATTATTTACGTTTCTTCTCCACTCCTACAACTTGTGCTTTTTGGACTGGATTTATATTCCATATAAATCTGTGTGATGGATCTTATTTAACACTTGCTGTCTCCTTGGCTTCATCAAATTCCTTTTGCAGTGAGTTTTATATATACAGGTGTCATGGACTCCTAGAAAATACTCCTTCATACTTTTTGTAATTAGATGGGAGAACTTGCTGAAACTTCACAGGAGACCAATGAGACTAAAGGGAGTTTTGGGTTTGTTTTCTTTAAAAGACTGGATGTGTATAAGGGTAACAAGAACACATAGTTGTTATTAACAGAACTGAAGATGGAATATTTACAATCAGTCTGCATAGAAGTTAGGAGACTTACTGTCAGTTTATCCCGTGTTTCTTCTTCACATTCTTAATGCTTCATCTGATCTACTTGGTATTGACCAGTCTTGCAGACAGGAAAGACGCATGTGGAGCACAACAGAGTCTGGCAAGTCCCCATGTTTCTACTGAATACTAAAAGTAGATCACTGTAATTATATTAAAATAATCTGGTTTTAATAACAACATAACTAAACACTTAGCATACACATCCTGCAGCCCTCGAATAATGGAAAAACTAAAAGCTCTATTTTAGAATGACAAGATTTTTTTATATCACTAATAGAATAACAAAAGAATGGTGGCATCAGAGGACCTACTGTCATCTGTACCATCTCCTGCAGCCACATTAGAAATGATCTGTAAATCAATTTGACAGAGTTCATCAATTTGAGCAATACATGCTGGATACGTGTCCCAGTACACATGCTGAAAAGGATGTTCAGATTACCATTACTTCAAAATCCATTCTGTTTTTTGTAGAATGTTGTGAAATCAAGTGGAAGGAGTAAAACCCAATCAGTGAAAGAGGGAGAGTTAAACACCAGCTGACAAGAGACAGGTTACAAGCAACTGGCAATAGCAGAGCTTTGCATTCAGTTTGTGTGCTGAGTGTTGTGTACCAGAAAGAACACCAAAAGAAAGCTTTTAAGGCAAAAAGGTTATGGTTTCCTGCTCTTTGACAGCGGGGAGGGCTGCAGCAAGGAGAGTTGGCTGGTGGAGGCCTGCTCTTCAGGCCCAGGCAGTGTTACAGGGGCAACATTGTTTTGCCCCTGACAGGGCTGTTCGCTTTGTCTCCAGAGTGTGGGGGTACCTGCAGGGCAGCTGCAGCTATTGCTGTCCAGTTTTGGAAAGAGGAAGACCCTGGGTTGTGAGTGGGTTTAAATGATAGTGAGTTTGGTCCCAGTTCTAGGTATTGCTTCTGAGGTTCAGCTTCTTGGATTTAGATGTTTTAAGGTAGTATCTTTGTTCTAGCTTTAGTGTTTGTCTAATGAGAGACACCTTGAATCACCTGAGGTATAATGTTTCATGCAATAGTTACTCCTACTGATGACTTCCAAGAAATTAGAGATTTAATGTTTGTGAGGCAAAAGGAAAAATAATACTGTAACTGAAATCTTCTTTATTCACAAGCCAAATGTAACCCAGTAATTCACACCGTGAGGTTCCATATACAGCACTAGCATTGTCCGTCCGCTTGGTTCGCAGGGACTCGCCATGCGCATGTACTTCCCCAAAAAAACTGCCAAGTGTAATTTTGCTCTTTTCAAGGGGACAATTTTGTAATTGTGGGACTTTTTTTTCACATCCCAACTTCAATGCGATCCAGGATCTCTCGAGATCAGTGATGATCTTGGAACAGTGGAAGGCAGAGATTTTTGCAAGTCCAGTGTTGTCAGCTTTTTCACTAGAATGGGTGGTATTGTAGTACCTTGTAGTTTTACTTCTTGATTTCAGGAATCTGGTCATGTTGTTTCAAGCAGTTGTTGCCCGGTTTGTAGTCTGTTGCCTCAGGAGTGTTGTTCCCTCTGCCTCTTGCAGGACTACAAGAGGCAAAACAGAACACAGTCCCTGCAGCCTTAGCCTGGTCTCTTCACTGAAAAGCATGCTGCTATAGCCAGTGATTTTTTTGGATAAACTTTGCCCTCTTTCCTCCCACCCCTAATTAGAAAACAGCAGCTTGATAGCACAGCAGCAAATGCACATGAATATCAAACAGAATCTTCACTACCGTTTTCATATTAACATGAGATATCAGAATGTAAAGTTAGCTAGAGCTGCACATGGGACCATTCTTGCTGTTAAAGGCTTTAGGCTGGAACACAGCCCAAAATTTTTAAAAGAAATGCAACATTTCCAGATCAAATATTAATTACATGCTATATAGAATCATATTTTTCAAACAAATTTTATAAATAAAAAGCTAGGCCTTTCAAACCATCAGCAATATTAATTTTGGATTTGAAAGACTATGAAAGATAAACCACCACATAACTGTGAATTAGAAAAATACTGGCCTAGGTTGCATAAAAACCTCCATTAAATAAATACTGTAAGTTTTCACTATGAAAATTCAGTGGCATTATACTTTAAAAAAACCATAATGAATTAACCATCCGTTAATGATACTGAAGTTGTTTTTCACAAATCACATACACATACAGGAAGTCAGATGGCCAAAAAAGGCTATATACTGGATTAATACACACTTTGACAGAAAGTACTCTTGATATGCTCTGCTCCTTCATCGTAACTTCCTGACTGCTGTTGCAGTTTATCAGCTGCAAATCCTGTTACCGTTCTCTAGGTTGCCTTGCTGTCCCAGGAGATCCAGCGCCCTGAGGGCTGACACAGTAGGTGACTGTGATTGCGGTCTTGTGCATTCATCCCTCAGACCACCGATTTAATCTCAGGCTGATTTACAGTGAGGGGTTCTGGTTTCCAGTCTGGTTGGAAAAAGTGAATATTGAATGTCCGTGCCCAGTTCTCAAACACTCGTTTCTCTGTGATGAAACGATGATGACTGCCCTTTCGTCCCCGCTCGTGTGAAATGTACATTGTGCATTCATCAGGTCCCAAAGGTTCATAATAATGATAAGGTACTGAAAGATGATTAGGATCCCTGTGAAAGAGAGAAAATAGATGGAAGCCCGAGATGTTCTTTTTTACTGATTGAAAAGATGCTATCTTTAATAAACTGATGGGTTCAAATGCACTTTTTCTCCCAGTTAAACCAAATTTCTAGGTAGCTGTAGTTTTCTTGCATATTTAATACATCAGAATGGGGCAAAGGTTTTTCTTTGCTCTTTCTATTGCTCTCCTTTAATCCCCTCCTCCCAGTTAAATAAAGGATAGCAGTAGCTCAAAAACAAGGGAGAGTGCTGCAGGGCTGTGTTACTATGAAATCTGAAGCAAACAGCTTAAAAGAGATTTATATCTAGATTGTGATTTGTAAAAAGCCTTACAGAGGTATTTACTGAACTGGGGGAAGAAAGGGAAGGGCAAGATAGAGGGGAGGTGGTTATCTGTGTCACATCAGCTCAGCTGAACATTCCCAGCACGGCGCATGAGGTTCTGAGTGCACAACTTCAATAAGTGTATAGGCATGCCAGGTCTGTGATACAGTCTAGTGTTGCTGGGTTTATAGTCAAACATCTGATACACAAATGAGTTCGGTTTTGATTTTTACAATGAAAACTTTCATGTATCTAAGCTAAAAATTAAAAACATTCACCCATAGTAGCTTTCTGACCTTGTGAGCCCATCGGCATTAACCAGCAGGAGATGTGTACTCATGTGGTGACACATAGGATATGCACAGGACCAATTAGATATTTAGGATGAAGTTCATTTGAGCAGTTCCAACCTCAATGTTTTGATGTTACATTCTGTAAAAGGCACATTTGTACTGTAATAAGCCAGAGTGATTAATCCTCCTTTTGTTTTATTCTGTACATTAAACTGTACCTATTATGGTTTTACTTTGGGCACAGGCATTTGGGGCTGACACTATACCACACTCTCTGTCATAAATTCAACGAGAGATAGCTGTCCCAGACAAAATAACCCAATTGTACTGGTCTGCACAGTTGCTACCAACAAACTATTTTGGTGGCAGAAGTTAATCCAAATAATCCAAATGTTGCCATCTAGTGAAGCCTTGGAACTGCTCTGTGTTAAAAGCCTGAGCTGAAGAGGACCCTAGTGCAGAGCAAGAAATCTCATGCAGATTCAGGGCTGTCAGCTCTAATATAGAGTTGATTATTTTCATTTTGAAGAGCTAATATTTAAGCTCACTTTCAACTGAATGCATCCACAATCTGTCAGTCTTCTGTCCTGATCATTATTTTTACCATGTAATTCTGTCACCTAGGCAATTCTCTAATTTTTCTTCTTTTACCATTAACCATATTGTATATAAGGTGGTAATGTGTGATACTGCTGCTGCTTTCCATTTGTACCTTAGATTAACGTTTTAATTCAATCAATCTGGCTTCCTAGTAACACAACACGGTGATCAATCTTGTAAGACCAGAATAACAACAAAATTACATTCCTAGAATAAGATGGATTCTAAATTTACTGTTTGTATTCTCACCGGAATACGTAAGAGTGAAAAGAAATCTTTCAGTACCTCACCTACAGAAAACATATTTGTAATGTAAAAATATACCCTTCATGTAGAAATGTAGTACTTTTTTTCTTCAGCTACAACTATTAGATCTCAAGCTTCAATTAATTTTTCACATACTTTTTTGATACATTGGATTTATAATCTCTTAAATGAATCATTTGTATGGTTACTGTAAATCTAACAGGATACACTTTAATGTGATTTATTTTTTCTTAAGAACTACTAAACAAATAGGCCTCTGCCTCTCACTTAGACTGCTCTTCCTTTCTGAATTGAAGCTGGATTTTACTCTTGTGTTCTCAAGGGTACACCTATATTGCTCAGAGTAAATTTACTGCTTTAAAGTTAGGATTAGTCAAGTTGGAAACATATCTCCACAACAGACTTTGAACAAATGCGGTCACAAGTTAACTGCTGAGGGCCCAGTAGTGCAGAGTGAGCCTGCAACGCTGCTGGCCTCGATACCTCCAGGTGCATTTGGTGGGGATCCTCCTGCCACTGCCCCACCCCACCCCTTTTTTAATGAACCCTGAGTTGGGTTTCGAGAACATTAACTGGAAGAGCAAAAAGCAGGAAATTAACTGCTCTCTGTCTCCTCCTTATTCCTTTGCTATACGCTAAAACGCGCAATGGATGATGTTGATAACTGGAATCAGATTTCTCATGGAGGATCTATAGGAACGCTGGTCTTTTTTTTTTTTTTTCCTTCTACACAAAACCCAAGTATATAGGGACAGGGTGCAGGTGGATCAGACGGAGAGAGGAAGGAGAGAAGGCTTGATATAGTGCTCCTCTTTCTTCTCTCTCACTCTGATAACTTAGTATTTACCTAGGGTTACACTCTTCTGTTGCCTCTCTGAGGCAACATTTTGAAGCCTGTACCTCCCAGGAAGCGCTCTGTCTCCTGTGTTACCCGTATTCTACCTGTGGGTATTATAGCAATGGATTTCCTTTTGGAAGACAGGGATTCCACATTACATCAAAGGCTCTGAAACTAACACCAGCGTATCCTAAGTGGGTGCCCTTAGCCCCCAGCTGTAACGGGTCACTATATTTCGTGCAAGGTCCCATCAGAAAGAGCCCAGAGACACCTGCTGCACAGGGCCTGGCAGGTGAGCGAGGCAGAGGAGCACGGTCGGTTTGGGCACCCTGTTGGGTTCAGGCATGCCCTGATGGGTGCTGTCAAGGCTTGTATGCAGTTCTACTGGCTGAACTGGAGGTGAATTCAGTGCAAAAATGAAAATGCTGGTGGCTTTAGACCTCTCCAAGACTACTCTGCAGCTGATTTGCGGCTTTGAGGCTAAATTCCAAAAGTTGTATTTTGGATTTAGGAACTCTGAAAGGCAGTTTGATACCTAGGCCGTTTTGTCTGAAGTCCTTCCCCTTTTGTGGGAGTTCTGGATTCCCCTAGATTGCATGCTGGTAAGGTCTGGATTTGAACTCTGGCTTGAGTAACTACACCATAACCCAAATTAACTGTACTGTGTTATCTTCTAACTCTGCAATTAGCTTGTGTCACCAGCAAATGAAATGCATGAGTAATTTCTATACGGAAATTGCTTGCCACCTCATTTATTAACATTAAAACAGATGCTGTTTTATCACTGACTGATACTGGACATTAATCAGTATTTTGTCAGACTTTGCATGCATATTAATATCACAGCTGGGAGAATCTAGGAAAGTTCCTCTGTAAAAGATACTATACTTCCTGTATAATAGCCTGCCAGCACAGCAACCGTGTGCGTGCTTGTACCCAGTGTCAGTCATCTACTGTTTGCCACTTCAGTGCACATTTTCCCCAGCTGGTACCTACCCACAGTGAAAGCTGAAAATACAGCAAACAACATTTGCCTCAAAAGAATCAAGGCAGAAAAACAAGGCCATCCCATATCATGTTCTGGTCAACCTTTTCCTTTACAAATGAAGAGCCATTATAAATCAACCCACCAAAACTATATATACTCACACACTTTGTAAAATAATTCATATTTTGAAGGGTGAATAAAGTGTCATTAATACATTGAGTGATGGGCAAGGTGCTGTGCCAGGACTGTGAAGATTTCTGAATTATTTTTTGCCTTCTATTCCCAGGATCCCATTTCCTTGACCTCCATGCTCGCCTTGTTTTCTGAACCATTTATGCATTTTGTTATTAGGTTATTAAGGTAATGAAGTGAGATTCAGGCACATGGACCAAAGGACGTGACTATCATCTCCCAGACAGTTTACAATCCTGTGAGCACCCCTTCTTCCATCAAGCCCCTCATAAGCCCTGGGAAACTAGCAACAACTGCTTCTTTGCACTTGATTTAAAGCAATTTAAAGTGTAGAGAGGGAGGTAAGAAAACACTAGATTTAAAAGCTGTACCCAAAGGAGTAAATTAAAGGATTTCAAATGCCAATTTTCAGGCAAATTATCACAGATGGGAAATGGCCTGGCAGTCAAATGAGGATTCTTACAGGAAAACGATCTGGCTCCGTAATTGGAGCAAAAATTATTCATGTTCGCTAAAATAAGGCTCAGAATTAAGCTTTAAGTTTCTGTGAGTTCCAGAAGGCCCATGAAGAGGAGTTAAAGAGAGCTCTTCTCACCAACACCTTGAGTTTTCCTTGTGTACATGAGTACCCAGAGATACCTGCAAGGAACCAACCTCTCACTGCTGCTGATACTCCAATGGACAGGGATTGGATTTACTACAGACTGCATTGAGGCTTGTCTGCGTCCTTCCCCCCTGGCTCTGCTGAGCTGCCACAAAGAAAAGCAGCAGTGTTGCAGTGCCTTCAGGAATTGTGGTGCTATCCGTGCACCCCAATCTGGCTGTTGGTGTAGGGAGGCAAGAGGAAAATCCTTGATGTCCCTGTTCAGGAGTGAGTCCTGTGCAGAGCAGGCTGCCATGGGGAGCTCAGGGAGGGAAATGCTTCCCATCTGGGGTGCTGGTTTGCTCCAGCAGAGGCTAGGATTGGGTCCCTGAGCACTGGAAAAAACAGCAAGATGGTTTGTCTGTCTTGTGTCAGAAGAGGGAGGTACACGCAATCTCCAAAATCTTTGCAATATGCATGGAAGCACAAGCTTTCATCTTATTCTAGAATGTGCAAGTGAGATGTGTTTAACAGCATGAGAGCAATATCAAAGCCTTAACCCTTACTACAGCATAAATCTGTAGCAAAGTAAAGGGATTCGATACTGCATATAGCTTTGCTGTAAAGTACTAGAAATTTATAATAATCAGGTCACCAATTCCAGTTCAGCTATAAAAATCAATGTCCAGTGAAAGTAAATAGAGATGAATCTAAAACACGTTGCTGTAATTAATAGTGACAAATCTTTTGGTCTGTAGTCCAGACTCCTTCACTAGACTATTTTTCCTGCATGGGTGGGAAGCAATTTGGTTAATGATCTTAAGCTAATAATTTGTAGCAGAATCAACAATATGATATTCATGGTGCCTTTGAGATGTCCTTCACGTTGCAGATGTGATACCAATTTAGTTCCATGACAGTGATCACCCACACTCATTACTTACTCCACAAATTAATACTTTAAAAATAATGGGTATCTGCTGAAGTTGTAAATTTGGTGATATTAACTTTGAATAGAAATAAGAGTATTAATTTTTTTTTTCAAATCTTAATGATTCTCTCATTGCACAGCAACTAAAGTATCTATACCGTCTTGCACACACATGAGAGAGGCAAGGGTGGGGTTTTGTGGGGCTTTTGGGGGAGAGGGGGCGAGGTTAATGGTAGATTTGTATTTTGTCTGACTGAAAACCACAAAATACGGCTTAAAATTACAGAGTATTTCTTTCTTTCTGCTATTCTATTCTGTTGCCTTATTTCTTTGACAGGAAGCACTTTTAACTTCTTAACGAGTGGCTGAAGAGCAAACCAAGAAGGTTAACTGTATTTATGGCAAGAGGTTCCTTTCATAGATCTTTATGGATAACTTCTTCCAGGCATGACAGCTACAGTTTTCCCCTTCATCACCTGAGGAATAAACTTGAAGTAAAGACACTTCATATTCTTTTGATTAAGAAACTACCTTTTCCCTTTTTATGACCAGGTGAGTGTACCTTTATGTGAAGATTTTTTTTTAATGCAGGCTGTAAGCATTATTACATCTATCAACGGTAGGATTGATTACAGCCTTTCCTGTGTTATAATTTAATATTATATCCATTTGATTTCAGTGTATCGATTCTACGAAAGCCTTTCATAGGGTCTCAGTGACAATTTTAGCCTCTCTTAAAAACAGTTTGATTTTTTTTTAATTAAGTGTATGTGTCTAAACTTCTCTGACTTTTTGCCTGAAAAGTTAGGAATGAGCATTGCTTTGCAGTGAATTGCTGTCTTATGCATTTTCAGATCATCAGTTTATTTAAGAATTACTTCCATGTGCCACTGGAATACAGCCACTTCTGGAGTAAGACAGACCAGCCATGTGCAGAAACTGAAGAAGTGTGTCTTGTCTAACTGAAATGCTGTGCTGTGGAAGGTATTTATGTTGTCTGGAATATCTGCTCTAGTTTGTTATTTTCCTTGGAGAATTCATGATGAAATCTGGCAGTACATCACAGCATTTATCATCAGTTTTTTGTTATAATTTGTAGAAATTCTCACAAAGTGTATTTTAGTGTTGATATTTTATAATTTCTTCAGGGATTTCTACTGTGTGCCCAAGACAAATGCAGATTCCTGAATGATCCTTTCCAGTGTTCAGAAGAAAGTCAAAGTAGTCCTGTTCTTTGACAGATAAGCTAAGCTGCCACTGCAGCTTTGCTCCCCTTGCCCCTGAAAGGCATCTTGAATTAGTCAATGAACGAGACTTAAGTGAGATCCCTAAATTTGCAACAGAAAATTCAAGCAAGTACTTCTTAGTGAAAGGGATTTGTGAGCAGGTGGTGAAACATTACACTGATGTCATAGTTCCAGACTGCCAGTACCAGCTCTGTGCATTGCTGCGTCACCTAACAGTGCAAATGGGATCAGGACTAGCTGTGGGCACATAACCACATTGTTCAGAAAGGCCAGAGTGCTAGGCCTAGTAATGGATGGACAGGTGATACTGAAGTCAGCATAAAGATTGCTGATGTAAACCACATTTGTCTGAATTTATAATGGATCGGTAGTTTGCATCATGTGACTAATGTGATTTTGGTCCAGTACCAGAAGTCCTGAAGACTGTTTCCCTGTATCACTGACCATACTGGGAAACCTTAACCAGCACCTTGGGTCCAATTCCTAAATATGGCTGGAGGCACAACGTAGCCGTAAAATGTACACAAGCTGTTCCTTTATAAAACAGCGTGAAGGGGTCACATAGCGTCCACTGACAGAATTTGTGTGCTGCTTCTACCACTTGTGGCCCACACCCTGCAACCCCAAAATGGGTGATTACAGGACTGATCATCTATTCAGTGAGTCCAAATTCTGGGCGTTTTTTGGTGGCGATTATTTAGGAAACTAGTTTACTGGCAGACTGGGATTCATGTGACAGAGATACAACAATCTTAATTTCAGTTGTGTAAGAAGTTCAATTTAGAAACTAGACGCTCTGAGAACTCTGTTCCTCTATTAACTGGGGGGAAACTTTAAAAACAAATTAAAAGTAATGTTTTCCAGTACTCCTTTTTTTCAGATTAATTTCATGCCAATTATTGCATTACTTTTAGCAGATAAATATTCAGAGACTAAAAGAAACCAACAAGATGGATTAATTCTCCCACACTACAAACAAAATTTTTAAATATTTTATATAACATAATTAAATGCTGTTTGTTCTTTTCAGAATCAGATCTTGGGACATGTTAATTAATTGCTTTAAGAGGACTAAAGACATGTTGCAGGAAGAAAAAAATTAAAGGATTCAGATATTTATCTGTAACATTCAACCTTGTTGGCTAATAATGGTTCCAAAATAAATCCTACCTGCAGAAATCCGGTGGCACCATGCCATAAACGTTTATCCTGTCACAGAGCTCTAATGCGATAGTCATTGTGAACCAGCCCGTGCTAAGCCAAGTGTTGGATATCTTCCTGAAAGCAAAAACATAATTATGTTTCTAGGCTGACAAATAATTCTTGAGATATCTGAAGCAATTTCCAGGCATTTTTTTTTACTCTTGTGAAAATTTATGAAAACTGGGCAACAAAGATTACTTTGCTCATTCATCTTTTAATGATTTTGCTAGTGTCTTCTCAGTGGACTAATCTATGCAGAAACTTCCTGTGCTGTAATTAATTTTGGGCACAGCAACGTTAATATTTAGTTGACCTTTTGGTAAGTTTACTTTAGTGACTGAAACTTCATGTCCTATATTTATATTCCTCTGCTAGTCATCTAAACACATCTATAATAACTTAATGGATCTTACACATGAAGTGCTCAGGAAGATGCATCATGGGGGATGAAGAGGGCTGCTTAAAATGTTGTCTCCCACAGCATGCAGAGGAGCCCGTCTTCTGGAGTGACACCTGGCCTCAAGTGCTTGGTCTAACCACCTTTCCTCCCACCCCGTCCGTGATTTGGTTTCTAGAAGCTCCCAGCCACTCACTGTGACTGCTGGCAGTAAACTCTTAGTTAGCTGCAGCTATGCCTGTCCCTTGTCCAGCCTGGAAAACCTTTGTCCTAAGTGCTACCCCTCTGCCTGCCCTGAGTCCCATCCCTGCCTGGTGGGACCTTTGAATACGAATGAGAGCACTGCAAGGGAGCCCTCTAAGGCAGCTGCTTTCCTGGCCTTCTCTGTAGGCTGGGAGAAATCTTTAAAAGAAGCACAACTGATCCCAGTATTATTTATGCAAAATAGGAGATATGTCTATGTAACTGCTCGCAGAGGTAAGGGATTTCCAAGCTGTGCTTAAATTTTGCTCTATCACAGGTTCTTATCTGCAAAACAGCAACAGTAACATTTCCTCTTCCTAGTGTTTGCTTGCCCTTGCTGTTTAGTATAGAAGAGCTGGGTACTATAATGGTTACTAGTTGCCTGGCACATGCACTGAACATGCCAGTCCAGGGTTAAGTTTCTGCGCTGTCCCTGTGCCGAGGGAGAGCTGGCAGTCTTGGAACGGGAGGGTCAAGGAAATGCCAGTGAGGAGCATATCTTAAAGGTGTTATAAAGGCATGTTTAGGGGCACCCTCACAGGACCAAGTCAAGCCCCTCTCTTTGAAACAGAGCTATATAAGGTCCGGTATTTATTTGCTTCAGAGAAAACAAGTTTACTCAAAGGTCTCCTTTCAAATACTGTTCAAGAAAGAGACAGCAGGTCTCCCTAATGGCTCCTCACAGCTAGAGAAGTCCTTCAGGAAGAAGTTCAAGCTTGTATCATCTGCAACCCAAAAAGGCCTCAGATTCCTGATGACAGCCTGTCCCAGTGACTGGCTGTGCTTTCATCTCTTACTAAAGCTGAGGCACCATGAGAGCAAGTGCAGGCTCTTGGATGGCTTGTGCACTGTGTCACATTGTACTAATATGGCACCTACGTTAACCCCATTCCACCACACCTATATCTGCCTGACACCTGCAAAGTTTTGTGACATGCCCTCCCCCCCCCCCCCAAAAAAAAAAAAAAACCACAACAGAGAACATAAGGTTCTCATCAGAGCAGTCACCTGGGAATCCCAGGTCCTGACCCCAGTTCCAAGGCCATCTTTTACAGTTTGCCCAGTGACAGCAGAATGCACAACAGCCCTAGAAGCAGGGACCAGAAGCCACAACAGCCACTGCCAGCAAATGCCAACAATCACTAATATGTAATTCAGCAGGCAGGAGCCCACCAGGCAGCTTCTCAAGCTAATGCTAAGCAAGCTAGTTCCAAGTAGGTGACCTACAGGGCAGTAGGAGGGAGATGTTTTGAGCGCTGTCAGATTGAGGAATGCCTTGTACCAAGATTTCCTGTTTCCTCTGCGAATTAGACTATTGCGAAGACAAAAACAAGTGGTGGTATCAGTGCAGGCTGCTTAAAAGGCACTTCTAAACATAAGGGAATTCTTTAACCAAAAATGCCTGAAGGATGCTGGGGAGCCCAGGTAATTTTTCCTGTCCTTTGTGGGTCACCTGGTAATGTATGAACTCCTGACATGTACGTTTTTACTGCTTCTAACATATAGACTTTCAGGCTAAGCTAGCATTTGGCGAATAACATGATTTAAGCATCTCATTAGCTCCAATTATGGGGCCTTACTTATTTTCTGAATTTGCACTTAAGCTTGGGGGTCGTGGTGCAATTTGTCACAATGTCATAGATGGGTCATAAGCTCAGCAGAGGCCTTCAGGCACTGCAACAATACAAAACAGTAAATAAGAATTTTGGACTCAAAATTATTAGGAAAGGGAAAGGTAGGGAAAAGCCTAAGAAATTTGCTTTCCTGCCACTTGAGAGTTTCTGAGCCTATGAATTGCTAGATAATTCAGGAACATGTTCAGGTTAACAGTACTTTGGAGCTTGCACAAGGCCACTGTTTTAGGTGCCTAAGACCTTACATTCCAAATCTGAGAGAGCAGTCCTATCTAGACCGTGACCGAAGTGGCTGGGCTTTGCACAGGTCAGGAAACGCAGCTAGGCTGTCTGCTGGGTTAGTTTTCTTTTTGTTTACACATACTTATGCTGTGATTTAGTGTTTTCAGTAACTAGGAGAATAACTGAATTTAAACTAGCTTAAAATGTAAACAATGAAGTAAAGATTTTAAAATTTATTCAAGTACCACTTTGGCCTCTTTAAATACCATGTCTGTAGGACAGCAATACAGAAACAGGGTGAGAGTGTCTTGCCTTTTCATAGAAGATCTGAACAACAGTCCAACAAAAGAATAGTGTTTTTATACCTAATCAGCTGTATTGAAAGAATATGAAGAACTGTCATGTGCTTATTAGGGGAAATTATCAGATATTCTTTTATATGATGAATTAACACGCTGTGCTGATAATTCTGTAGTGCACACTAAATTACAATTAAAGGCCTTTCTGCTCCACCAAAATCTCATTTATAATCTCTATGGAAATACTCTTCCTGCAGTTATTTCATTTATGCTTCCTTTATCTAATTACTATAATATTGGTTCTGAATCATATTTTCTTAATGTACCCTTATTCAATTATAAAGTTATTTTCAAGTACAGTTACTTTATAATACCAAGTATATTGCTCTGCAGCCTTTGTCATTCACCATACTATTTAACTGGCAATGTTTTCTGAAGGTTTCCCTTCACTTCAAAATCAGCTTTTTTCCGAAAAGCACAATAGCTTTTTTCTCATAATTTTCAAGAGAGAAATGAATGGTTTGATTATTGCAACCTTGCAATCAGGCTTCTCTCTCTCCCCTTTGTTTTTTGCAGGCACTAATGTCAAGAGCTCAGCAGAAACCTCCCAGGGAACAGCAACATTCTGGGCTGTACAATGTTCTGCTTCTGCCCCCAGCGCTACATAAATTTTCTTCCCTTACAAATTCCTTCCTACCCATGATTCTTTTCCTCCTCCCTCTCTTTTTCTGTGCTGCCTATTCATTTATTTTCATCTCCCATTTTAATCTTCTTAGTCCTTCAAGTATGCTGTATGTGCCCTGTAAAGGAGTTGTTCATACACAAGCAGAGCCTTCAATTTCTTAAAAGCAACAGGACTGGTTCATGAGGCTGAATTTTGCTAGCATCCAAGTGCCCTTGATTCACACTGGGAGTTCAGGGTGCCCATGACTGAGTCCGCTATAAACTTGTTATAATGTCATTAATGTCTCAAATGCCTTCAGAATATTTCAGGAGCCAAGACTGAGCCTGGTGCCTGCGCAGAAAAAAGAAGTGCTTTCATCACATGCACAGTTATAGGTCTCTTGCTCTGGATGGGTGATGGAGAACCAGAAGGAGCAGCTTCCCTGAAATTGCACAGCAAGTGTCAGGAAAGGCATGGGACCCTGGCTCCCCATGGCAGAACTGGCCAGACTGAAGCAGAACAGGTAAACTGTTCCTCAAAACTGGGGACTGCATGTGGTCTTACACTGAAAGAGTACTCCAGGAAAGGGAAGTGGCAGTGTGTGTTCCTTGTGTACAGGGTCTGACCCTTAGGGCTGATGGTGGCCCATGTTACAGTGCAACTACAGCCTTGTTAACTTCCACGCCTTTGTAAATACTGGGCATACAGATAATCCTTTGCGCTCTTCTTGAAGGTTTCAAATGCTTAGTTCACCTTCTTACTGCACTCTGCTCTGGGTGAACAAACCTGGAAAAGACCATAACACATCAGAATTGGCAGGGTGTCTCCCCTTGTTATCCTTCCTTCTCCTTCTGGCAGAGACTGACAAGCACTGATTTGAGGATGGAGAGAAAAGGACCTTTAATGCTAAGAAACTGACCAAGTTACTGTGTGCTCTAGTGTTAATGTGAGTCAATCAAGAACTTAGGTGTGTAGTTTGATCCACTGTAACTGAACAGAACTCTGCAAGCAAACCATGTGGGGTATGAGAAAGGCAGCAGTTGCCAAGCAAAGATACAGTCGCTGTCAGCTAAGAGGGTACAACGGTTTCCTCTAACACTAGTTCTGCATTTGTTGTGCAGCTCAGAAAACAAGAGTCTGTGCTCTTGAGTCCTCCTTGTTCACAAGAGGATTGAGCCCCGCTCCAAGCTTTGGTGTGTATGTGTAGTATTTGTGAAGCTAGAAAATCCCACCATGAGTTACTACATAATAAACCCACCTCTTCATCTGTACCTAAGTGAGGACCCTGTTCCATTTTTACAGCAGCATATTTAATAAGTAAAAAATAGGACTGTATTTCTTGCTAGGAAGTCTTTGGTTTAAATGCCCATTTTCAAACATATGTGAAAATGCTCAAGTCCTGCAGTGGGTCACTTATGAAAAATTTGATTTGAAGATCAGCCTACAAGTCATAAACAGTCTCATAAAGATCTAACTATCATAATAACTTCCCTTTTCCCAGTTGGAAACATAAGATGAACTGTTGTGAAGCACCTAATGTATGACTAATGTTTATTTGTTTCACAAGAAGCTTTACAGCTGCAGTGTTCCAAGAATGCTTAAATCCAGTAAACGGCTATTATAATTCACTGAATGGCGGCATTTCCTCTATAAGAAAACATAACCTATCCATTCTGATTTTTCAGAATCAGTAAAAAAACTTTCAGGTATATTACCCCAAAGTGAGATTTAAACAGCTTCTGCCTCCTTGGCTGTATAAACGGTACATCCAGATTCTGGTATTCTAAGTTGGTAAGGCAATACTCCATACAAATTATTTTGATGCATATTTTTTACTTATGTTACAAGTGATGTTATTTGGCATGTCATACCATACACAACTCATGAGGCAGAAGATTTAATGGGCGTGATGGTCCCTCTGAGCAGATCTGAAATTGGTATAGATAAACTACGTTATTTTATTACTGTATGACATCCCCCAAATGTATCCCCAGAAGTTCTCACCTGTCTTTCCCAGTTTCCCGTTTAAAAAGGTCATCAAATTGAAGCATCTTGTGGCGAGAAATCATATATGCTTTTAATTGAGGCAGTATCTGATTCATCAGCTGCAGGTTATTATACACCAAGCCTTTACCATCTCTCCTCATGTAGCTGCTAGGACCCCAGAAGATAAACACAGCACCGTGGCTCATATTTAAGAGTTCGTTGCGATTTCGCAAAATCCTCTGAATACTGGAGTGTGCAATGACTCGAAGGCTTGTTTTGTTTCCAACATCTTTTCCATAACCTCGAGTAGGTGCATCATTCATTCGTATTACGCACTCTGTCTCGTCGATTCTCTCACCTTGTTTACTTCCCAGAAGGTGTCCAGAGCTGGTTACCAATGCACAACTCTTGCAGTGCATTTTTAAAGGCTGCAAAGACATACATACTTCAAAATTAGCTGTAGATTATCTTCCCATTCACTACATGGTGACTATATTTTATGTGTACATGGCATATTTTACAGCAAAAATCTCAGAGGACTTTACATAAATCTCTCCCAACAGTCTTCCCAAATAACTGGGGATACATTACCTGTACATTTTGTAGATCAGGAAAATGTAGTATATGTGTATAGCCCTTAAAGTTCCTCTGTGGAGTTAAGTCCACTGTTTAAATCCTCCTTTCTATTGCTGCTTCATATACAGTAATCACAACAGCTTCTATACTGTTCCCAGCTGCTTAGGATTGTACTTCTTCCACTTGCCATAAATAAGCTATAATTGGAGTATTTTTGATTCTTCCTCTCTTCCAGTTTTTTGCAGGAAATACTCCATCAGAAGTCCTCATAAGCACAGGTATGAATAGCTTTTCAACCTTGGGATCACGACATTTTGCTAAGGGAAGAGAGTTACACCTTCGTCCAATCCTTGCACGCTATTTCCAAGTTGGTGCCATAACCACTGCTGTGCTCTTGTACCTCCTTCATGGTTTGACAATCAGAGCTGGTCATTAATGTCAGCATGTATTTTATATGACCGTGAGTTAGTGCACTGAACTTTTTCTAGCTTGTCAGGTCATGTTTAAAAGTTACACAGTAAAATGGAACAGGAGGTGCCTGTTCAGTGAGTGGCTGACCTAATGGAATCAGAAGAGTAAAACAAGCTTTCATGCAATTGAAAACACGATAAATCATATTACTGACGTATGCCACTGTCCTGGTTTTGGCTGAAACAGGACCAATTCTCTTTCAGTGGATACGTACTCTTCTTGCTGATACCTGTAAATGTTATCTGCTGCTCAGCATGAGAACTAGAAAAGAGGCAAAGGGTTACAGCATCCCCAAAGTGCTCCTTTCTAACAAGAGCACAATAAACACTCTTTGAAGGTGTGCCTTGGTGGCCCTCCATGAACCAGTATTTTGCAGCATTTAAGCCCAGTAACATCAGATTACAGAGCTTACATAGTGTGTATCTTATTGTTTCTTTTTTAAAAGGCAAGCAGACTGAACTGTCTGAGGTGCCTTAGAAGGCCATTTTGGGTCATGATCATTTTGATCTACTGATCTTCTTCCCTAAGGATGTCCATCAGAATTTTATTTTCGTCGTTAACCACAAAGAATGGCATTCCAGTACTTTCCTGGTGAGTAAAACACGCTTGTTTAATTCCAGAGGCTTCAAATCAGACACACAACATGCTGAGAGCAGTTATCTCCTGCACTGTGGCACTGGCCCGATCCTGTAGTATGCCGAGGAGGTGACAGTATTCACTGCTTCTGGAGCACTAGGAACCTAAACCCATCTTTGACAATGAGGGCCTCAGCACCTCGAGATCAAACCCTGTGGCTGCCCATGGCAGCGCCTTGTTCACGCCATTACAAACATAGCTACCATGTTTCCAGGTGTAAACTTGGTGGGTTTATTAGCAATGAGGCGAAGTTATGGTGACATGTAATTAAACTTAGTATCAACCACAGGCATATAGAAATCAAATTACTGTATCAGTGTGCAGTGAGGCACAACTTAAAAATCTAAAGCTGAAAAGAGACATTAACTAGGTCTGAGATAATCCTGTTCACTTGAAAATGCTTTGGCCCTGAGTATTTGAAGGGGGTAATTTGTTTCTAATGTTGAAGGTAATAGGTGGTTGTAGTCTAAGCTTTTTTTCCTGGGAGAATAGCTAATGAATGATGAAGTGCTTTTTAATTATAGACAAAGTAACTAAACTATACAATTTGCGTCATGATACAACCAGTAAGCTTTGTATCTCCATCTTCCCCAAACAACATTGTCCCTTTTCTTTCACATATATGGACTGTAATCCTGAGCTAACGATATGGGTAGAAATGTTCATGCCTTTGTGAGCCAAGGTTCCTAATGCAGTATTAACATGCATTTTCCTTTAAGCTTTCATCTGCCACTTTGATGAATTACCTACCAAAAGGTGAACTAGCTGCTCCACCATCATGCTTGGGAAAGCAAGATGAAGTGCTAATGAGGTTAAAAGAAATGTAGTCAGCACCAATGTTAACTCACATGGGTTTGAATATCCACATAGCAAGACATTTTCACCTGAACAATCTCTGCTGGTTTCTGGCCTACTGAGCTACAACTTACTTGTTTCTTTTAAAAAGTCTGCCAAAGAATCCATCAATTGTTAGGAAACAAGGGTGACCATCAGTGGAG